AAACAAACACCAAAAAAAAAAAAAAAAAAAAAAAAAGACAAGATACCTATTGAAAATTAAGCATTCTCTAAAATAAGTCAATAAGGGCTGGGGATTATAGCTCAGTGGAACCACGCCTGCCTCACAAGTGCAAGGTCCTGAGTTCGATCCCTGATACTAAATAAATATCATTAAAAATATAAATTTTGTCAGATGTGAATGTCAAATATGATCACATGGCAAATTACAGGAGACCCTAATTTATGATAAAACTCTTAAGCAGCATATGACAAAAATCTACTTACTTGACTTCTAAAAATCATAATATATTTGATACCATCAGCTTTAAGGACAGGAAATTCGTTCACTATTAAAAAAATAAAAAGTCATAGTTACTTCAGTGGTAAAGACTGTTACTCAAAAATCAGTGACAACATTATAAGTTTGAAAAAAACGGTACCCAAAATGTCAAGTAACTAAAGCACAATTATACAGTGATCTACTATGCAATTACTAATTTAGGTAAGGTTACAAAAATTTTTTCCTTTTCTCTTGCCTTGAAGTTTCATGATAAATGAACATTTATCAATTACATAACTGATTTAAAATAATTTTCTTAGGATTTGCCTTAAATTACTCTAGTGGTGGGAAAATTAGTGAGAGGGATAAAACAGGGTTAGAGATGTGGCTCAGTGGTAGAGGGCTTGCTTAGCATATGTAGGGGCCTGGGTTCAATCTCCAGAACCAACAATCAAATGAAAAAAGTCAACTATTAATAGTTTCGTTTGTTTGGTGGAACCAGAGATCAAACTCAGGACTTTGCACTTCACAGGCAGGCGTGGCACCACTGAGCTACATCCCCAGCCCAAATACTAGTAATTCTTGAAACTAGATGATGGCTGCACACAAGCTCGTTACAATATTCTGTCAATCTTTCTGTATTTATGTAAATTTTCCACATGGAGTATTTTTGAAAAAGGGAATTATCTTAACCTATATCAACATATTCTTAAAAACATATCCTTTTTCTTGGGCAGTACTAGGGATTGAACCCAGAGCGGTGAGCTTCTAGCCTTTTTATTTTTTTGAGACAGGGTTTTCCTAAGTTGCCCAGCCTGGCTTCCAACTCATGTCCCTCCTGTCTTAGCCACAGTGCTCAGCAGGACTTCAGTCTTTCAGTTCATCTTTCAGATGGGAAAGTAAACAAAACCGAAGTATAATTCCTACTCATACGTAAGAATAACAAAGCCAAGTTACAGTTAAGTCTCACTTATTTTACCATCCTAACCCAGTCATATATTTTCAACAAAAGTTATAATTTCACATGGGCAAGGGCTGGGGCACTGTGTTTCATGTAAGAAATAACTTCATAGCCAGGCATTTCAGTACACTCCGGCTGGCCCAAGCACTGTGGGGAGCTGAGGCAGGAGAATCACCAGTTCAAGCCCAGCCTGGGTAACTGAGTGACTCAGCAAGACTCTAGACTCAACACAAATAGTAACTTAAGGACAGGAACCAGTTTCTTAATACCTCTGACACTACAGAATTCTTTTGAGGTTTTCCTTATCACTTACTTCATAATGATAGAAATTAAAGCTGCAGGTACACTGTTGTTAAGTTGTATAGAAGAAAAATTCCACAAAACTCACCATTAGGTGATTTTAAATCAGGAAGAATGTGATTCACAAAGAACTCAGTCAGGTTAACAAGTTCATTAGCTTGTGTAATTCCATGCTGAAAACAAAATTTGTAACAGGGTAGAATGACACAAAATACTTACACGTACAACCACATCAGAAACCTAAGCAGCTGTAGAAAATAAAAATGCAGAGATGAGCCAGGGGCATGCTCAGCAACAGAGCACTTGCCTAGCATACACCAGGCTCTGGGTTCAATCTCCAGGACCCCCAAAAGGACAAGGAGATGAACACTTCAAAATATGCATTGTTTATATGTAAGACAAGACTAACTCAGTGCTTAACACATTAACACAAAACTGTCTCTGGAAACTCTAAATTCTAATCAGAACTAACAAGTTACATGGTGGAATAGGCCAATTTTCAGAGATCATTTGTTCTCTTAATTCTGTGGTTTCTGATTTCTGTTTTACAAACAAAACGTTGTGAAGATTTACCTTCTGTGTTTGGGCTTTTGATGCCAAAGATGTCACTAGGTAAATTGCTGCATCTTTGTGTTTCCAGTTGACAGATGGATTTTTTGCATATTCTTGAAGCATAGAATTAACATAGCCAGAGAAGATTCCTGTCACAGGACCCTCAAAAAACTTACACAATCCTCGTACCAGATCACAGGCAGCCCTGCGTCTCGTATCAATATCTGTGAAGGCAAAAGAAAATGTATCTTAGGGGAAAGAACCAAGCATCAAACAACTAATCCAGTTTATAAGAAAAGAAAAGCTAATAGCTGTGTCAGCCAACACAAACAATGAAAAGAACATGTCTTTTTCTCACAAGAAAAATGCATGAGAATGAAACCAAAGAGGCCACACAATTATAAACACTACTGAGAATACCAGACAGGAAAGACAAGCGATTCAATGTCTTTCTTTCTGTGGGGGGTGTACCAGGAATTGAACTCAGGACCTTCTGCTTGCCAGGCAGGAACTGTGCCGCGAGCTACAACCCCAGCTCCAAGTCATTCAATTTGTGATCCATCTATGCAGATAGTAACAAGAGCTGCTCTTCCAAGACTAGCTGAAAATAGAAAAGTTTAATGAAAGCCAAAACTGGCTTGCTAACAGCAAAAGAAACAAAATACACACCTGATCCTTCCAAATCTCTTCTTATGTACTCCTCAGAATTATCTTCAAATGCTTCTTCATCAGCAGCTATAAAGACAGTACAGATTTGATGATAACTCCCCAAAAGACATAAGTCACTGCAGTCCACAGCCAAGTGCAAAACAGCACACAGAACTGCCTCACTACACAGGGCAAAGCATTCCTTCCCATCAAATGACGACTTTCTATACTCTCAGTCATCACTAGGGCAGTAAGCATTACCCCAAAAGGCTTGTATTAAAGAATTCACACAGGGCAGGGGATTTAGTTCAGTGGTTCCATTGCTTGCCTTGTAAGCACAAGGATCCGAGTTCAATCCCCGTACCAAAAAAAAAAAAAAAAAAAAAAAAAAAAAAAAAAAAAAAAAAAAGGCATGGTTACATTGTAATGCCAGCACTCAGGAGGCTGAGGCAGGAGAATCGCTATGAGTTCAAGACCAGCCTGGTCTACATAGTGAGTTCCAGGTCAGTGTCAACTACATAGTGAGGCTCTGTCTCAAAAAAAAAAAAAAAAAAAAAAAAAAAAAACAATTCACACAGCTCACAGCTGCGAGATGTGAGTGTCCACAGAATTGACTTTCATGTCTGACTTTCAAAAATTGAGTACTGGGGATTAATGGAGGAATGCTGACTTTCCATCTGGTCAGATAAGGACATCAACTGTGATAATTACTTGACAAAAGTAACTTCAAAAACAAAAAAAGCAAGGCAGACAATATCAGAATAAAGATATGTCCTTAATTTTAAGAAAACACTAAAGGAAACAGAACCTCCCACTATATTATCTTTAATTTACTCATTTTGTTCCCAACAGTTTGAGAATCACTGATCTAGCTATTGCTGAGATAAGAAACAATCTCTTCCACCTTCATGCCTTTTTCTTCACAATTGCAAGAGATAAAAGAGTACAGGCTCGTGGGGTTGTTTAACTTTATACACAAACTAAGTGGGGCTCGTAGGTAAAAGTTATCAATCACTTCTCAAGTGAATTATTTAAAAATAGCTGTTTGCCTAAAATGAGTAAAATGCTGTATTTTTCCCCAATGTAGTAGGCTACATAAAGTCTTATCCAGTATTTTATTAAAAATAAAACAAAACCCCAAAGTATATAGCAAAGCTCATTATAGCAATACAAAGTATGCTGCAACATTTTCTGTACTGTTTAGTAAACACAAAATACCTTAAAGTTGTTTTTGTAATTTAAAATATTAGACTGAATATGTTGTAAGAACCAAAGGACTTACTGAATTTTCATGAATGCACTTTTTAAAAACCATCTTTTACTCCCCAGAAAAGCCTTCACCTTGCCATACTTACCTCTAAATTCCATGTTAGGCACAATAACCTTTTCACAGATACTTGTCAGCGTGTTCTGGTCCTCAAATAGATTCTTATAGTGAGGTCTCTCACAAACTGAAGCCAGAAATTGAATTGCATTACTGACCAACTGAAATAAAATGTAACATTGGAATATATTAAAGAGCAAAATCAACCTTTATTTCTTGGGAGAGACAGGGAGTTTATTTTTTCTTCACCATTGTCTTACCAAATCATATTTAACCTCTTGCCCTGTGGTAACTAATAAATTCCAGATAGCTGTGACAAAGCGAGGCAGGTAATGCTGAAATTCTTCATCGTACTTTTGAGCATAGAGTGCAGCATTATCACAAATCTGGGATTTTAAGAGTTCCAATAAGCCTGCTTCCTCTTCATCCTCACATGAGAAAAGAGAAAATTCAAACATACACATACAATTTGAAGGCTGCCATAAATAAGGAAAGCGGTTGTAATTCCTGAATGAGACCCTTTAAAATTTACATCCAAATAATCTACTATCAGGCCAGGGATTCAGCTCAGTGGTACCACCGCCTGCCTCGAAAGTACAAGGTCCCGAGTTCGATCCCTGGTACTTCAAAAATAAAAACAAACAAATAATGTACTATCATAAACTACATATGGGTCACCATTGTCTATTCAAGTTTTTTAACAAGGGATTTCTTGTTTATTAATCACTGAGAGCAGCTCTCAGGTTTTCAAGTTGAATAAAATTTTTCCTGATTACTAAATTACAAAATATTTCCATATTAGATTAAAAATATTTCTACATAAACCTGTACCCCCCCAAAAAAAATCACATCACACTTTCAGGATGTTTGGCTTCCCAAGCAGGTCATTTCAAATATATTATTATGTAGGTGTCTCACTCCTAAAAAAAGCTAATATTTAAGGATTTTCATAAATAATATTCTGGTTATAGCACTGTCCCTCCCATCTACATATATAATACATAGCTATATAACTACATCTAACATATATATATCTAAGCCAGAGATCAGCAAACTGTGGTCTCAGGCCAAATCCTGCAAACTCCTATTTTTTTAAGTAAACCTTTATTAGACACAGACATGCTCATTTGTTACTAATTTATACAATTTATTTTTTCTTTTTGGTACCACATCGAACTCAAGACTTGTGAGTTGCACTTGTGAGCCAGGCGGCGGCGCCACTGTAGTAAAAAATCTTATATGAGTAATTTCCTTTATACTTAGGCATGAAGAAAGGCTTTGTTTTCTGAGGGACTGAGCTATTTTTCCTAGTAGATGAAAACAATTTTATGGTAGCCAAAATCTTTTTGTTCTTTTTTACTTAGTCAAACTCTGAGAAAAAAAACATATTTCACAAGAAGGGTAACTTTTCTCCTTTCTTCAGTTTGAGACAGGGTCTTGCTGCAGTTCAGGCTGGACTCAACTCACAATGATCCTCCTGCCTCAGCCTCCTGAGAGTTGTTGGGATTACAGGCATGTGCTACCAGGCCTGACCTCTGTTTTCCACTTTAAAAACCTGACTTCAATTTCAATTACTATTTCTAATTTATTTTATCTGGCATTGAAGTACTCTTAATATTTAGTTTTATGGTTTCTTAGGAAAAATCTTAAGTATATTAATAAACAAGCAAATTGGGCCAGGGATTTAGCTCAGTGGTTCTGCCACCTACCTTGCAAGCGCAAGGACCCAAGTTCCATCCCCAGTACCAAAAAAATAAAAAATAAAATAAAATGAACAGACAAGTAAATATATAGTAACAGGGTTAAGGGTCTGTATGTTGAAAAGTACAAATAAATCCCAGATCAGAAACTTTTACACATTTTAATTTTTACGTATTTTTCCAAGCTGGGATATTTCGGGTTATCATTGCAGAAGTTTAAGGTTTTCTTAAGTATCTTCAATGACAAGCAATTATTTCCTAAAATATTCACAATGTGATTATGATAAAAGCCTTGCTTTCAGTAATGCAATGAAATACCCTTACCTGCAAATTTTATTGAAGACATGCTCAGAATAATTTTGTGTATTGCACATAAACAAAAAAAGAACACCCAACAGAAGCAAACATTACTTGAACTTGTAGTATTTTATCTATTAACAATCCAAGAGTAAACAGGTTTTCATAAGACACCAAAAATTTCCTAAAAGAAAACAGCTACTTCAACATTTAAAATACTTACATCAGTTTGTAGAAGCTTATTATCCAGTGTCAAGAGGGTATGAAAATTGTCCATCCAAGTTTCCATATTATCTTCAAAAAACTCAGGGAGATCCTAAAATAGAATTGGTGACTTGAGACTATGATTAAAATAAATACACTCATTTAGTACATTTCCACACCGTGTCATTTTTTGTTGTTTCCCTTTTTCAGAGACCGGGTCTCAGTGGTCCAGGCTAGCCTGGGATGTGCGGTGATCCTCCTGCCTCAGCCTCAAGAGTGCTGGACTAGTGTGCACCACACACCCCAGCCCACCAATGCCTCTAAACTCAATGCCCATCTTCTTAGTCTATAGTATCTATGGTGCTGGGACTTCCTGGTCCACTTAGGTTTGTGGTAGCTGAACAGAACTCTGCTGCTGCCTCCACTGCGTGTTTTCATCACCAAAGGATGCTCCCTCTACAGTATTTCCTGCCCCAATCAAAATGGTTATTCCTTTGAACTCTAGCTAAGATTGTATGACGGCTTTCCTTACAAAGTTCAGCACTTACTGTTATACCTATTTTCCTTTCTAAATTATTCTAATTATTTTAAAGTGACCATCAATCCAGACTCTTCTGGTTGATGTCTGCAATGTTCCCCGGAAGTTTCACACCCTGCAGAGGGGCCCAGTCAGAGGAGGCATGGTGAGGGCCTGACTTGGAAGGACGTATTCTCATCTCCACCTTCTCCTTTTTGCTTCCTGATGTGAACAGCTCTCCTCTACCAAGCCAATTCTGCCACTGCATCTTCTGCTCGGAGCCTGTGGATAATGGACTGAACCCACTGAAAAGTGAGCCAAAACACATCTGTCTTCCTTTAAACTGTGGGTGTCCAGGATTTTGTCCAAGGGACATAAAACTAACACAGAAATCTGGTACAACAGGTGGGGTTGTTGCTATGAGTCTATCTGTCGTTTGAAGTCTTTGCAAATGGTTTGTGGCAGTTTGGAAAGGCTTGGGGCTGCCTGTTAGAGAAGCCCTAGAACCGAGGGCCACTGAGGTGAGACTAGGGTGGATGTGTTCTTGACCCAGCTGCTCCCCTCTCTACTTCCTGGCACCATAACATAAACAGGTTTTGTACCTGGAACTGGTGGGACATGGACTGAACCCACTGAAACTGGGAGCCAAAATAAACCTCTTCATTTTACAATTGTGCGTACTGAATACTCTGTTCCAGCAAGAGGTGACAGACTCAAACTTACTATCTTACACGGCTGCCAATGCCCCATGGTATAGTTTTGCCTTCTTTAGAAATACGGGCCAGATCCGTGACAGTGAAGATTATGCCTCATTTAGTTCCTCATCAAATTATCAAGAGCTTCAATTTTCTTGACTTCTCAGAAGTAGAGTTCAAAATGAAGTATAAGCAAAGACTCGTCTTCATTTACATATAAATTTCTCAACCTGCCAGGTGTGGTGGCACACGCCTATAATCCCAGCACTCGGGAGACTGAGGCAGGAGGATCGCTATGAGTTCAAGACCAGCCTGGGCTACATAGTGAGTTCCAGGTCAGTCTCAACTACATAGTGAGACCCTGTCTCAAAAAAACCCAAATAAATAAATAAATAAAGTTTCCCAACCTGTTGTCCAGCTGAATATTGATTGAGGCATCATTATTGGGGCTGTTCATCTTCTATTTTACCTAAGAGAATCCATTTCCCTCCATCACTGTCAGTGCAGTCATGCTGTGAGAATAAGCCCAGTACTGACCATGACTAATGAAAATGCCAAATCCTTTTCTCTTCTTTTTGCAGTGCTGGGAATTGAACCCAGAGCCTCACACAGGCTAAGCAAGCACCTCCAATCAGTCTCCCTCCCTTCTTTGTAATACTGGGATTCCAAACCAGGGCCTTTACACTGAGCTACATCCCTGACTTTTTAATTTTTTAAAATTTTGGTATAGTCTTCCAAGTTTGTCCAGACAAGGCGCAAACTTATCCTCTTCCTGTCTCCTGCTGCCCTGGGATTACAAGAGTACATACCCAGCTACCATCGGCCTTTTAAAAATTTTATTTTGAGACGGTGTTTTACCAAGTTGCCCAGGCTGGCCTCGCACTTGCAGTGCTCCTGCTTCAGCCTCCCTAATGGTGGCTATGGCTAGCACTACCATGCCTGGCCAAATCCTTCTTTCATCTTGGTATATAACTTGCATTAATTACTGTTCCCTTCATGGTCTTAGAGGCCTGAATCTTAAATCAGTGATGCAAGAACAGAAAGAATTTCAAGCAAGGTGGTGCACACCTGTAATCTCAGCACTTGGGAGGCTGAGGCAGGAGGATTACTGCAAGCTCAAGGCCAGCTGGGATACACAGTGAGTTCAAGGCCATCCTGAACCACACCAGACCCTGCCTCAAAAAACCAGAACACAGAGATAGACCGATTCACTGGAGGCTACCGTATCAGTACTTACACAGAGTGAGGAGGTATTTCCTGCTGTAATCCTGTGGCCATGTTTCCTGTGAAATGCCTTTCATACTAACCCCTTTCAAAGCCCAGTAATTCAGCTTCTGTCTTCTTCATGCCTTCCAATAAAAGCACTTGCACACAAGCTAACCAGGAACCCTTAACCAAATATAGTTCCCTCAGTGTTAATATTCATGTAAATGGACCAATGAAAAAGGTCTCAGAAATCTGTTTTCTTGATGCTTTCAATTTTACTGAATAAAACTATACACAAGGTGACTCTCCAGAGGGGTAAGCTAGGATGTTTTCTTCACTTACTAGACACAGGAGAGAATGCTACTTTTCCCACAAAACATCTCGTAGAATATCTAGGGATACTGTAAGACAGAACACTGTGAAGAACAGAGGGAGCTGGGCATGGTGGTGCAGGCCTAGATCGTATCATCCCCAGATATGGGAAAGGCTAAAGGAGAAGGACTGCTCAAGTCCAGGCGCTCAGAGCCAATCGGGACAAGACTGAAGGATCCATCTTGTTTAGAAAGATAAAATAAGGACAATCAAAAAAGCTTTCTTTTATTTCAGAAAAACAATGCTGAAAAAGAAGTATTTATCAAGTAGCCTGTAAATTAGCATCAAAAATTAACTACAAAAAACCCAAGAAATTAAATAAATAAAAACTTACCTGAAAGTTTAAACTATAGAACAATTTTGAGATCAGAATCAAGGAAGAAAAAAGAATCCTCAGAGCAGAGGCATCATTTGCATGGGTGCTACACAGTTCAATGGTGGCCTTGGAAAGGAATTTAGGAAGAAGGTTTAATATGTCATAAACCCAGCGTGCTCATCTTAATAAAACAGTCTTGCACTAGCTGAGGCTACTCATATTTCTTCTCCAAAATGTTGGCTTCTAAATACTATATATTTAAGAGGGTCTGAAAAGTAAGTTACAGGATATATTTTTAATTTGTCCATCCAATATTAGTATTCGGAACTACATCTGTCCAAGGGCTAGGGATGCAGTTCAGTGCAAAGACTTTGGGTTCAATCACTCACGGTACCACAAATATGTACATATACACATATATATCAGTTATGCACTATGGGGCCGGGGATTCAGCTCAGTGGTACCGCCGCCTGTCTCAAAAGCACTAGGTCCTAAGTTTGATCCCTGGTTCCAAAAATAAATAAATGCTATGAAAAGCTCTGTACGCACTTGGTATTTTGAACTTAGGGGCACTCTCATCAGTGAACTACACCCCAGTCCTTATTATTATGGGACAGTGTCTCACTAAGCTGCCCGGGCTGGCCTTGAAATTGTAATCATCCTGCCTCACCTCCTGAGAAGTTGGAAGTACAGGTGCATACCACCATATTTGGCTCCAACTTTTTTTTGGGGGGGAGGGGGTACCAGGGATCGAACTTGGGTCCTTACACTTGCAAGGCAGAGGCAGGCAGTGGAACCGAGCTAATTCCCAGCCCCCAGCTCTTTCTTTTTTAGCTTTATGATCCTGAACCCCTTTTGCCTTACTTGGAAAAAACTTTTCTTTCAATCTTACAGAATTCTTGCAAAAACCAAGAACAAGTTGCCAGGCATGGTGGTGCACGCCTGTAATCTCAGCACTCAGGAGGCTGAGGCAGGACGACTGCTGTGAGTTTGAGATCAGCCTGGGCTACATAGTGAGTTCCACGTCAGTCTCAACTCCATAGTGAGGCCCTGTCTCAAAAAAAAAACTCCCCAAAACAAAAATACAAAACAAAACAACAAGTCTAGAAAAGTAGCCTGGTGCAATATAAAATTATGTCCATTAAATTTTACAGTCAAATAAAAATGTGAATTTCTTTAAAAAAAAGTGAAATTTCTGGCCAGAGATTTAGCTTAGTGGTTCTGCTGCCTGTCTCACAAGCACAATGGCCCGAGTTCGATCCCCAGTACCAAAAAAAAAAAAAAAAGCGAATTTCTTTAGAAACACATAATTCAAGTGAAATAATACGCTGCCTGAGTTACTTTCTTTCTGTGGTACCAGGATCAAACTCGGGACCTTGCACTTACGAGGCAGATGGCAGAACCAATGAGCTAAATTCCCCGCCCTAAGTTACTTTTAAACATTCCTACAAAAGTAGGGGAGCAGATTAAAAGAACAAAATGTTGCTAATTGTTAAACTTGTATAATACAGTTCCTTACACTATCCTCTCTGTTTAGGTTTGAAAGTTTAAAAATAAATGCTGCTCTATCAAGCAAGCTTCAAAGTAACCTCTTAAAATTTATCCAACTATTCAAGCAATGTAAAATACTAATTTTAAAATGTCACCCAGATATTATTACATACCTTAAATAGATTTGTCAAAGGCAACGCAAAGGCATCCAGTACAAGTTTAATTTCAGTCCATAACTCATTTGACTTAAATTCATGACGGTATCTATAAAATTAATGTAAAGAAGGCAAGTTCAGAAGTTTTACTACTCACTGTGTATTTAAGAACAGTTGCTGATTAACACCTATGACTAGATATCTGTAACTTGTGGATTTTTGAAATTCAAAGGGAATTCTTGGTTTTCTTTACAAAAATATCAAGACTTAATTACTATAAAGGCAGGGCTGGGGATTTAGCTCATTGGCGCGGTGCCTGCCTCACAACTGTAAGTTCCTGAGTTCAATCCCCAGTGGGCTGGGGGGGATATGTGAGCTAAACACTCTACCTGAGAAGAAACAAACACAATGAACTGAGAGACCTACGCTTTTAGTCTAGAAGATACTCAAAGGAGCAACAATGGTCACAAAAATAACTATTTACATAAGCAAATATAACATAAAAAGAATATATTAAAGGAATGATTGGGCTGGGGATTTAGCTCCGTGGTTCTACCACCTGCCTTGCCAGTACAAGGACCCAAGAAGTTCAATTCTTGGTACCAAAAAAAAAAAAAAAAAAGGAATGATTTGTGCATCAGTACCTTTTAAATAATGAATGTGCTGTACGAAGGACTCCATTAATAACATGGAAATCCCCACTCTGAAAGCGATTCACCATTTCTGTCAACAAGTCAGGCCATTTCTGAGGGAAATCTTCTCTGCCAATAATGCTAATAGCATCACTCAACTAGAGAAGGAAACACTTAATTAGACAATAGCCTTACAAAGGAGCCTACCCAGAAAGCAGGGATAATGGTACCTGCTTCTGAATTTGTTCTGGGCTACTAAGCATCAGGTGCACTATATTGGCTTTAATGGCTACTCGATCAGCTTCACAAATTTTGTTTGGTTCATCTTCAACCTAAAAGCAAAATAACAATAAATAACATCAAATCAATATTCATATCCGTGTGGGCATGCAAATAAAAATACTTTAAAATATCGCCTAAGAAAAACAAGATACGCAGACATTTCAATTTCTCTCTACATTAGTGGGTCACTGATTTTTTTAAATAATCTGATAGAAGTGTGAACACGTTCCCCAAAACAATGTATACTGCTTCCCCACGTAAATAATTCACATACAAATGAATAAGGTTCTTTAACTCCCAGTATCAGTAAGAATTTCAGTGCTGGGCTGAGAGTGTACTCAGTAGCAGAATGCTTCCCTGGAGTCCAATCCCCAACATTGCGCACACGCAAACACACACACACACACACGTACACACAAACACAATAGTTCTATATGTACCGCCTAAAAGCAAAGATTATTCCTGTGAAAACTTTTCCATCTTTACTAATCAGAATATATTCTGGACTACATCAAAGAGGTTCTACAAGTCTCTCTAGTTTTATAAATCAAGATAGACTGCTTAGAAGTCCGTCTGTTCTGTTGTCTTCTAAGAGGGAAGCAGAGGGATGGACTTTTAAGCAGCCTTTCTTTATTTTTCCAGTACCGGGCATGGAACTCAGATCCCTGCACTTGCCAGGCAGGCAGGGCGCCACTGAGCTGAGCTCCCAGCTCTAAGCAGCCTTTCTAACATTTATCAAGTAATTTCTTCATCACATGTGGTAATACTTAACCAATTACACAAGCCTTAAAAACGGAATTTATTGGGGCTGGGGTTGTAGCTTAGTGGTGCTGGTGCTTGTGAGGTAGGCGGCAACACCACTGAGCTAAATTCCCAGCCAGAAAAACCAGTATTTATTGTTTTGTAAACTTTTTGTTTTGCTTTGTTTTTTGTACTGGGGATCGAACTCAGAACCTTGCACACTTATGAGCCAAATGTGGCGCCAATGAGCTAAATCCCTGGCTCTGCTTCATAAACTCTCATGGGATCAAGAAGTTTTTGTTTTGTTTTTGTTTTTGAGACAGGGTCTTGCTATATAGTTCAAGCTGGTCATGAACTCATGGTGATCCTCCTGCTTTAGCCTCCCAAGTGCTGGGATTATATGCATGCACCACCATGCCCAGCTAAAAGTCTCTAAATATATATTTGAGCAAGTTTCAAATTGGCTTTTTAGAAAAACTGATCAATGTTGTCAATCTTAGTATTTTCCCCAGCATTAGTAATATTATCATTATAATCTAATTAATTCTTAGGAGTTTTTTAAAATCATAAATCAAGATTTCTCAACCTCGGCACTACTGATATCCTGGAGCAAGTAATTCTGTGTTGTGAGGCGCCAGCCATCTAGCACACTGTAGAGTGGACTTCAGTCTTAGGTCTCTACCTACTCACTAGATGCCAGCATGATGTTTCCAAATATTGCCAAATGTCCCCTTGCTGGGCAAAAACTGTCCTCAACTGAGAAGCATTCACCTAAGTTAAAGTAGGGAAAATGCCTATTTCTTGATTTATAATTTTATACTAGTGATTATAGCACTAGTGTATTCATCATAAAGTTAGAACATACAGCATTTCCACATTTCATAAGACAGAGTGGGGAGGGGAGACAGAGGGCAAGCAAAATCCCTTCTCAAAAATTTCAAATCTAGGGCCGAAATTTAGCTCAGTGGCATTGCACCTGCCTGGCAAACATAAGGTCCTGAATTCAGTTCCCAGTACCAGGGGGAAAAAAAAAAAAAAAAAAAAAAAAAAAAAAAAAAAAAAAAAAAAAAAAAAAAAAAAAAAAAAAAAAAAAAAAAAAAAAAAAAAAAAAAAAAAAAAAAAAAAAAAAAAAAAAGAAAAAGAAAAGAAAAATTCTTTTCAAATCTAAGCCAGGCATGGTGGCACATGGCTATAATCCTAGCACTCAAGAGGCTAAGGCAGGAGGCTTACCTCAAGTTGGAGGCCAGCCAGAGCTACATTTTGAGTGAGGCCAGTCTGAACTACAAAGTGAGAGTCTGTCTCATAAAACAAAAGAAAGCATTTCAAATCTAAATTATTTTGCATTCAGCCAAGCATGCTGGGAGGCTGAAGCAGGAAGGAAGATCCCAAGTTCAAGTCACCTTGCCCAACTCAGTGAGACTGTCTGAAAATAAACAAAAAGGGCTAGGGATACAACTCAAGTGTGAAGTCCTGGAGTTTAATCCCCAGTTCTGTGAAAACAAACCCCAAAGCCCTCCCCCCCAAATTATTTTGCATTCTTCAATTTATTTTTTTGAGATGGGATCTCAAGTGTTGCTCAGACCAGCCATAAACCTGCAATCAATCATCCTACCTGGCCCTGCTAAGTAACTGGGACCAGAAGCAGCACGCGCCAGTATGCCAGGCTTAAAACTTTAATATGCAAATTGTTTTTAGCTTTAATTTTCCCAGTCCATAACAGAAATTACTTCAATTATTCATTTAGACTGCCTTCCCAAAAACATCTAAGAAGTGATCTAGAGGGTGGGAGATGTAGCTCAGCAGTACAGTGCCTAGTTTGATTCCCAGTACAAAAAAGAGAAGTGATCTAGAGTTAATGTGAATATAATGGAGATTATGACCAAGTCACACACTCTCTAGTAACTAGTCAGGAATTAAAGAACAGCTCTGAAAGAGAACTCTGTTTAATTTTATCCTTCACCTGTCCCTCCATCCTCTGAGAGCACTGCTTATATAAATCTTATGAACATACAGGGTATTATGTATTCACTAAATACTTACAATTCTCCAGTTTCTTTTAATATAGTTCTTGAATGTTACCGAAGCACACACTTTGATGACATTATCCTGGGACTTCTCTAGTAATGTTAAAAGTAACAGTGGATAATTCTGATTTCCTTCTACAGATTCAAGAAATTTTTCAGCTGTAAAAGAATTTTCATATTAGAAGACTTATAATCAAAATCACTCCTCTTTTTTTATAGGAACTATACATATTATTTGCAGCCCCTGCAAATAATTTTTAATACATGACACTGGCAAAGGTTTTCTGGGAAAAGATTAGAGCCATTAACTACTTCCCCTTATCCAGGAATACATTGTTTAAGCACTACTTGGAAAAGGTTATCATCTAAAGACGAGGCTCCATATAAATTTTCTTATTTTTCAATCAAGGTTGGAAATCTAATCTTGCCAAACAGGCTTGAATCCCTAAAGTTAGCTGGTTCCAAACAATACTTATCACTCATCCAGGGCACGTACCATATGCTGTTATCAGTGCCCATTTCACCAGCCACCCTCATTTAAATTTACATTTGAGGTTGAAATTCTAAGCTAACATTAAAAGTTGCTAATGGAAACTGATCAAACTCAGGAGGGGGAAAAAGAAAACTCTAGTCTTAAAGGATATTAACTAAATCAATACTGGCAAGAAGACAGAGACCAGTATCAGATTACTTGTTTCATTCACTTCACCATTTTTTAGGCAATTACACTCATCATCTCTCTGCCTTTAAATATTTAACTCTAAAGTAGGCAGGCTTTGCAGCATAGCAAGTTTTAAGTGAAGTTTTTCAGAAAGGTCAAAGGAGAAACATTCTAAATACATTGGTACTTTTTAAAACCTCAACTGGGGCCAGAGATTTAGCTCAGTGGTTCCACTGCCTGCCTCACAAGTGCAAGAACCTGAGTTTGATCCCTGGTAAAAAACAAAAAACAAAATTGTATTTTTATGGCAAAAGATACCAAATAAAGGCTGTTTTATTCAAAAATAAAGTGCATACCATGTTGAAGCAGTTGTAAGCTGCCAACCACACACTATAAATATGCCTGAGAATCCAACTATAAATCTTTTTTCTTTTGAATTTACAACCAGACAGACCACAGAAATTTCTCTCACAGTGCTCAAAGAAGGAATCAACCAAAAAACATTTATTTTCTTTACCTGGACGTCTGATGGCAGGATCAGGATCAAGGGTTTTCTTCAGATATTCTGTTAGTGTTTGTAAATTTGCATCACTGAGCTCCATTGCTATAGACTCCTGAAAGACAGAGAAGCGGGGAGAGCGGAGATAAAGTTGGGTAACTGGTCACTTGGGAACACAGTGATTTAAAAAAATAAAAATACTTTCACATTACAGGTCTTCCTCTCCCTGAAAGGCATGTATTTGTTATGTTTTCGATATGGGCTGTAAACCTCACTCTTTGCCGAGATAAAGGACCAGAAAATAAGCTTAAGAAAAAAAAAAAGTACCAGGCACAGATGGCACATGCCTATAATCCCAGCACCAGGGAAGCTGAGGCAGTAGGATCTCTGTGAGGTTTTTTTTTTGGTACCGGGGATCGAACTCGGGTCCTTGCACTTGCAAGGCAGGTGGCGGAACTACTGAGCCAAATCCCTGCCCCTGGATCTCTGTGACTTGAAAGACAGCCTGAACTATAAAGTGAGACCCTATCTCAAAGGAACAAAACAAAAACAAAATCAAAATGAAAAATAAACAGAACTAGGGATATATCTCAGTAGCAGAGTACCCCTGGGTTCAATCCTTAGTAATGAAAAACAAAACAACAAAAAAACCGGGGTATATGCACTGTAATCTCAGAATTTGGGAGGCTAAAGCAGGAGAATCTCAAATTTGAGGCCAGCCTGGAATACACCACCAAGTTCAAGACCAGCCGGGACTGCACTGCACAGCACAGCACTGCACAGCACAGCAAACCGAACCAAACAGTGATATAATTCTGAGATAAGAGCCAGGAATGGTGGTAGAAGCCTATAATCTCAGCATGCTGGGAGGCTGTGGCAGAAGTATCACAGGTTCCACTAGCCTGGACAATTTTTTTTGCTAGTTTAGGGTCTCATTTGTTTTGTTTTGGTACCAGGTATGAAACTTGGGTCCTTGCGCTTGTGAGGGAGGTGCCAAACCATTGTGCTACATCCCTGGCTCTAGCCTGGACAATTTAATGACTTTACAAGACTCTGTCTTGCAATAAAAAATAAAGGACTGGAGATTAGTTTAGTGTGAAGGTCCTGAGTTCAGTCCCCCAGTACTACCTCAACCACAACCACCACTAAATTCTGAGACGAGAGAACATCCTATAATTTCAAAAAGATAGGCATAGAAAACACAGTGCTACATTGATCAAAATCACCAATAAACTCATCTGATTTAATGCTATAAAAAAAAAAAGGGCTATAGCCGGGTGTGGTGGTGCCATGCCTGTAATCCCAGCACTTGGGAGGCTGAGGCAGGAGAATTGCTGTGAGTTCGAGACCAACCTGGGTTACAAAGTGAGTTCCAGGTCAGTCTCAACTACATAGTGAAACCCTGTCTCAAAAAAACAAAAAAAATTTTTTGTTTTAAAAAAGGGCTAATAAAGAGTGGAAAAAATTACCCACGAGCTTAACTTTAAAAACCCACAGCAAGAGCCAGGTATGGTGGAACATTCCTGTAATCTCAGCACTTGGGAGACTGAGGTAGGAGGAACGCACCAAGTTTGAGGCCAGCTTGAACTGCAGTGAGCCCCTGTCTCAAAAAACAAAACAACCCAAAAAATAAATAGAACCCACAGAAAAAAATTAAAATTTCTTTTGTTTTAGATGTGGTCTGGCTTTGTTACACAGGCTAGCCTTTAACCCTGGAAGCTCAAGTGATCCTCCTGTCTCAACCTCCTAAGCAACTGGGACTATAGACCCATACCACCACACTCAGCTGAAAAATTAAAATTGTATGCAAGTTAAAAAACAGCGCACTGGGCCAGGGATTTAGCTCAGTGGTTCCACTGCCTGCCTCACAAGTGCAGGATCCCCAAGTTCGATTCCCAGTACCAAACAAACAAACAAAAATGTGCATAGTCCCCAGGCATGACAGTGCATGCCTATAATGAGAGGCAGAAGCAGGAGCATCACTGTGAGTTCTAGGCCAGCCTGGGCTACATAGTGAGTGCAGGGCCAGCCTGAACTACAAAGTGAGACCCTGTTTCAGAAAAGCAAAAAACAAAACAAAACATATGCACAAAGCTGGGGATGTAGCTTAATGGTAAGAGCACTTGCCTAGCATGTGCAAAGCCCTAGGTTTAATACCCAGCACAGCAAAAAAAAGCATAAAAGTTCTGTGATTAAAGTAGAATAAATTCTTTTGTATACAACATGCAACAATAAGTACTCATTATAAACTATATGCTGAGAATTTGCATTTAGGGAGGTAATTCTAGAATTCAGAAAATGATGGTTGTGATTATGATTTAGAAAACACTTCTCAGCAGGGGACAGTACTGCATGTCTGTAATCTCAGCTCTCTGGGAGGCTGAGACAGGGAGATCACCAATTCAAACCCAGCCTGCCTGACACAATGAATTTGCAAGTTTGACTCAAAATAAAAAATAAAAGGGATGGGTATGTAGCTCAGTTCAAAGGCCCTAGATTCAATCTACACTAGCACAGAACATATAAAAAAAACCTTTAAGCTTAAACAGCACTAAATCACAGATTATACTGACTGACCAAAAAATACACATCTAACATTACAAATTTTAAATTAAACGGCCTGCAGAGATATGACAAATGTGTTAATAGCCATACAGCTCAAGAATCTACAAAGCCTGTCTATATTAATATACAGTACTGTATGCTAGAAAATCACTGAGCAGGTTTTAAGTATTCTTACCATACACACAAAAAAGAGGGCTGTGTAGAGCATTTGCCTAGCACACACAATGTCCTACGTTCAATTCCCAACAGCAGAAAGAAAAAAAAAAAGGTGAAAGGTAATGCATGTTCATTAGCTTGCTTTAGGCATTCTATAGTGTATATATTTTAAAACATCACGAGATACATAATCTTGTCAATCAAAAAAAAAAAAGAGGGAAATGTTGCCAGGCAGGAAGATTCCGTCCAAGGCCAACTTGGCAACTTGGGAACGATGCTTCAAAATAAAATAAAAAGGGCTGGGGGTACAGCTCAGTGGTACACTACTTGCCTAGTGTGGGGGGGGGGTGCTGCAGGTAGGGAAAGAACATAATAAGGGCCTCATTAGGCCTTCTGGCAAATCTTGAATAGAGTTAAAACTTTACTGAAGGGTCAGTTAATAAGACATAAGCAGGAAAGCTGATAAGCAGAGCATAGCAAGTCAGGTGCCCTAAACAAGTTAGCCACTCTCTCCAGTACCTAAAAGTAGTGCATATATAAAATATAAATTCACACCTATGCACTGACACACACATATGTGCTCTCACTCTAGGATCACTATATTACTGCATTAGATACACATGCATCCCTTCAATCACTAATTAGACCTATATGTAAAGCCTCCTAACCAACCTAAAAATCCCAGAGAAGGCCCTGACAAGCACAAGCAGGTGAGAGAAAAATCAAACAAAGCCCACCTAGGAATGCACACACAGATAGTGGTGCCTGGGTTAGCATCCTATGGCCTGGGATCTATCTAACACAGCCCAGAGAACCAATCAGGCTGTGATGAGTTCCCAAACACATGGCAAAAGAGGCCAGAGACAAAGGACTTGTGGGAATCCATCTCTCTCCTGGACCCTATGCCCCCACTTTGGGGCAGTTTTCTGTCTTTTGCTTTCTCTTCCTTACAAATAAAGTGTCTTCCCTTTTTTGTTTGTTTTTGAGACAGGTTCTCACCATGTAGTTGAGACTGACCTGGAACTTACTATGTAGCTCAGGCAGATCTTGAACTCACAGTGATCTTCCTGCCCTGCCTCAGCCTCCCGAGTGCAGGGATTACAGGTGTGCACCACCACTCCTGGCTGTGTCTTCCCTATTTTAAACTTCATCCCTGCAATTCATTTCTGGTAGACACAACACTAGCTGCAGGAGGCCCCAGGATTCAGGCTGGCCTTGAAAACACAGCAACTGTTCAGCCTCAGGCTCGAGAGATTACAGGTGCACAACACCACGTCCACAACCTTTCTCGATGTCAAGAACGGCCATAGATTACAGACCTGTACTTAGCATTTCAGCTGTGCCTGGTGTTCTGAACCAGCACTAAAGCTCCTCTGACAGTAAAAATTTGATTACCTTTTGTCACAGACATTTCAAAGGAATAAAATTTTAAAACTTCCTGATTGCAAAAGTTAATACATATAGGTAACCACAGGACATCAGACAAATGTACAAAATATGAAGAAAATAAAATTCTGAGATGTCAGGTGCACATCAATGTGCCGGGCTGAAAAGTCTTTTGTTTTTGTTTTTTTAAAAATAAGTGTATGTCAAACTAATTTGGCAGCAAACTTTAATTTTTTTTTTTTTTTTGGTACCAGGAATTGAATTCAGGGCCCCTCATTTGCCAGGCAGGTGCTGTGCCACCGAGCTACATTCCCTGCCCAAATCTTGACATTTTAATGTGTCTGACTAATGGGTGCTATCCCAGGCCCCACTGGGGAGATGTCATAATCCATAGTATGTACATCCAAAAAAAAGAAAAAACACCTGAATTCTGAAACACATTTATCCCCTGGAGCAGAATGAATCCTAGACCTTAAATGCAAAGTTCGGAGAGTTGTCAGAGTGGGAAGCCATCCAGGACTTTCTTGAGCTCAAAATGGAAGATATGTTTATCATATAGTTGTATTTAGACAGGCAACGTACAATGAGGAATCCTCTCCAAAGCAAGTAGTGTGAGTAAGTAACAAATGCGAAGAAAGCCAGGTGGGACGGCGCATACCTGTAATCCCAGAGCTCAGGAGGCTGAGGCAGGAATGCCCCAAGTTCAAGACCAGCCTGGGCTACATAGCAAGGTCAAAGTCAGCCTGAACTACATAGTAAGACCTTGTCTCAAACAAACAAACAAACAAGAAATGGAAAGAACAGTGGACTAAGAAACTAAGATCAGGTCACATAGGTCCTCAATACCTGTACATGGCTGAAGAGCATCAGGATTTAATACACAACAGGAATCCTCTGAGGATGTTTTGAAGGAGGTAAAAATTTAATGGAGTACAGGAACTTGGGGCTGGTAATGGTTTGCAGATGGAGTTGGAGCTAAATGGAACAACAAAACTGTTCGTTTTTTCT